CACTCCCACCCCACAGACCCCTGCCCCCCTAGCCCTGCTGGTGCCTTTCACTCCTGACCCACAGACCCCTGTCCCCCAGCCCTACCAATGACCCACACTCTGGACCCATAGCCCCTTGCTCCCTCCAGTCCTGCTGGAGTCCCTCAATCTCAACCCGCAGCCCCCTGCCCCCCCAGCTCTGCCAGTGCCCCTCACTCCTAACCCACAGCCCTCTGCCCCCCCCGCAGCCCTGCCAGTGCCCCTCACTCCAGACCCGCAGCCCCCTGCCCCCCCAGCGCCCCTCACTCCAGACCCGCAGCCCCCGCACCAGTGCGGTCAAAGGCGATGGGGGTGCAGTTGCCCTCGCTGGGGGGCCAGGGGCAGTAGAAGACAGCGCCGCCCTCCGTCACATCGGGCTGGCTCGTGTTGGCCTTGGGGGCGCCGACCAGGACACTGACGCTGTGGGGAGATGGTGGGGTCACCAGGGGGTGCTGCCCTCCTGCCGACACCCTGTGGTCACCTCCCACCCCCCACCTGGGGCCTGGCACGGACGGAGCTGGCAGGCATAGGGACAGGGTTGGAGCTGGCGGCTCACGGGCCCCAGTGCTGGCACAGCTGCCCACTCCCCCGCCCACTCCCCCTGGCACAGGGCCTGGTCCAGCCCCTGGGACCTCCCGACCGCCCAGGCAGGGGCCTTGGAGGCCACAGCGCCGTCAGCTGGACACGGGCTCAGACCCCAGGGACACGTCCCCAGACGTCCCTGAGTGCTGGGAGCTGGCAGCATCCTCTGCCTGGTGTGAGTGCGGTACCGGCCTGGTTCACCCCCACCCTAGGCAAAGGGGGCAGGAAACAGGACTGGACCCTGCTGGTGCCCCTCACTCCCGACCCACAGCCCCCTGCTCCACCGATGCCCTCGCACAAGACCCGCAGCCCCCTGCCCCGTTGGTGCTCTTCACTTCCAACCTGCAGCCCCCTGCCCTCTCTTACTCTGCACCGGGGGCCCCATCCTGCCCGGCACAGGTCGGTGTAAACAGGAAGCCGCCTGTCGGCAGGGACAATAGGTCCCCAGCTCTATGTCTGCAGCTACATAGGAGTAGGGGGGAGGTGGGGGGTCAGGGCCAGGATCAGGATTGGGACCCACAGGGCCAAGCTAGAGCCAGCTGTGAGCCCAGGCAAGAGACCGGGGACCCCCAAGCACCCTGGGCCCAGGGGGGACAGGGAACGGGAGTCTGGGGCTGGTCCAGACAGGGGCGGCCCGATGCCCCAGGGTGGGGGAGTCAGTGCCAGCCCCCGCCCTGGGCCTGGCTGCTTGGCTCGGGCCCCCTCCAACACAAGCAGCCCCAGGACTGCAGCCACCATGGGGCTGTAACCCTGACCCAGGAGGAGGGGTGGGGATTGGGGGCCCAGACGCTTGGGTTCCTCCCTGTTGCAGTGGACATCCAGGCAAGGCTCTGCCCTGCTCCATGCCTCAGTTTCCCCCCACGGCAGAGCTGGTGGCTTGGCCCAGGGGGGTATCCTGGGGCAGGGGGCATTTATCTGCTGGGGGAAGCGGCTCCATCCCGAGGGGCAGGGCGGGGCCGGTGGGCACACAGCCGGGGCACGGGGCACACGTGTGCGCGCACCCGTGACAGCCGCGCCGGACTCGACCCCACCCGCCACAGGGCTTGGCGCCTGCTCCCCCCCCCAGGCTGCCAGCTCTTGGGCAACTGCTCCGTTTAACCCCGGGGGTGCTGGGCTGCGGCGTGGGTGCCGGGCTCTTCCCAGCTGATCCCTGGGGAAACTGAGGCACACCGTGATTTTGGAGCTGGGCAGCACAGCTGGGGGATGGGACCCGGGAGTCCCGGCTGCCTGGGCAGCGCTGCGCCCACCCTTGCCCCCCGCCGGGGCCAGGCAGACAGCCCCACACTGCGCAGGGGGGGCTGCCCCTGCTTCCTGGGCCTCCGTCTGTCCGTGGAACCGGGGACACGGGGACCCCCTGCTGGGCCACAGCAGGACCCCGCTCTACCCACCCAGCCACACTGCTCCGCTCCCAGCCCAGGTGTTTGGGG